AGAAAGTACAAGCATATGTCACATTTGCAGCCTAAAGCACTTGTTTTTTAAGCAACACACTGATTTCTCAATATTGGGTTGAGCACCCATTTACCACAAAACTAACTACATTATTCTCATTTTTAAAGAGAAATAGAAGCCACACATATGTGAACCTCTCTGTATATACTTCAGTACACAGATTGTCTTTATTTTCAGCTTAGATTTATTTTAGAAAATTTTAAGAAATGCCAACAAAATCTTGACTCCTGCAAACATTGCATGGTTTATTACAGCAGTTCAGGATCTTCTTTTATATTGTTTCATAAGCCTACTTCAACAACAGAATAGTAAGAACTTGCAATGTATGGTTAGTGTCTTCACTGTTCAAAATTTATACAGCTGTCTGCAGGCTATGTGACCTAAAATATTTCATGCAAAGAAGTGAAGAAAATGAAAAATCCATTCTTTTAAAAACAGAGACAGAAGCTTGCTGCTTTTTCTTTATTTCCAGTTCATGTTCACACAGGTAAAAACTATGAGAGCTTTAAATAGTAGTACAGAAGTATGCACCAGAATTCATGAAATACAAGCCTGTAGCAAATACCAGGTTCATGAATAAAAGAAGCCCCTTTTAATCTGTCTGCCTCAGTGTGTGTGCTGCTGTTGGCTTCATGATGGCCTCTTCTACAGGGTACATATCATGAAGTAGAAGCTCAATATAAGGTGCAGAAGCACTAACCTTTATTATATTTACCAACTAAGTATCTTAAGTTTATAAGGTCAGTCTCCCATATCTGTGTCCTCTAGAAAATCCTCACCACACTCCTACATTGGAAACAGCACAATCAGACCTCCCCTCCCCTTCCATGCCTTTGGTAATCAGTGCAGTCATGCAGTGCTGCACTGTGTGCTGTTGTTTACATTGCCAAGGCATGTTCAGGTGGCATTTTGACTCTCTACTTCTGGTTCCTGTACCATAATAGACTCTGGAGCTAAGTCTAGACCTGTCTTTAATCTGCACTGAAGAACAGTCAAGTCAGTGCGAGCTGTAAGAGACTTTAAAAGAGGAAAAAGGAGCAGAGGAATACTCTGTCCCATTGTAAGTTCAGGTCCATTATAACTGTTTGAATTTCAATTTATCAGAAATTACAAGATCATTCTTCATCCTTCTGGAAGTGCTACAAGACTCTTAGTGAAAGTAGTTGGGTCTCTCGTGTTTGTTCTCATAGCTGTGTCTGTCCCTGCATGCAGGACCAGGACACTGGGTCAGCACTAGCTCTCCACTGCACCATCCTACAGGATTTGTCTCTTCCCTAGATATCTTCCTTCTTACAGATTGTATTGCCCAAATCAGTCTTTGGGATTCAAAATTACTTTTCCAGGAAGTGGTATGGATTTAGGACACCAAGTGATTGCTTTGTTGTTTTTAAAATGCTCACAAAAATGGGTTAATGGAAACAGTCTGAAAGGTCTAAAAATATCCCGACTGATTTTTTTCCCCTTCTTTCTTTTCCTTTCATCCTGAATATTGATAGGCCTTGTTTTCAGCCCCCAGACTCCTGTTTGCTATCCCACATTATCCTGTGTCGTGTGAATGCACACAGTTTAAGGCCATACTACCTGCCCAGTACTCTCAGGAAGATGGTAAGTCCTCTGCACTTCTTTTAGAGCAGTGTCACGGACATAAGGCCAGCACACATCCAGACTATTAGTCAGAGACACCTCTCTCCTTTGTCATACTGTCACCCGGGATAAAAGAAATGGCAAAGGAAGACCCTGAAACCTTTGCTACTGCGCTGCTCTGAACGTATCTGAAGGGTTTGTTGAGAGCATGAGAAGGATGGGCATTGCCAGGGAAGGGCAAGAAAGAGGTGGAAGAGATTAAGACTGCAGAGGATGAAAAGGGCAGGGAACAAAGAGAAGGTGGCCCATACTTAACTATTTCCACTCATCCATACAACATGACGAAAGAAAGACATTAAGGCAAATGTTCAGACCATTTATCTTCTGCAATTGCCTGCATATCCATGCTGTTCTGCAAGGAAAATGCACTGTTGTTTGCATTTACACTCACATATACAGCTCTGGACTATTTATAGAAATGGCACAGGCTTTAGTGAAAACCAACCAGATTTTCTGAAGTCCTTTTAGGGGACTTGTTTCTTTATCCAGATCAGCAAGAAGGGAAATCAATTAGTGTAGCAGAACATCTATTCTTACGTTGTTGCTATCAGTACAATCACACAAATAGATGCACACTGTTATTTGTTTTTTAAAAAAGTATACAGTAACTGTATAAAATGGTAGCCATAGTAAAAAGCTGTACTAAATAAAAAACTCCCAAATTTTTCACTGTTGCTCAAAAGTGACTGCATTCATTTTGTTAGTCACAGAAGTATTTATTTCACTCATAGCTCTGTGTTCGGTTGCTCTAAGGAAAAAAGTCAGAGCTCATTTCACATTTTGAGAAGTGGCACAGCAAGTTCTACAGAGCTTGCTATGTCCTTGCAAAACAAGGGTGGGCACAGCACATCCTCAGGAAAGGTGAATTCAATAGAACATATTGACACATTATTTGCACAGGATTGTGGAAACTGCATTTACTTTAAAAGCCAACTTTGAAGTGTTGCTCCACGACCAGTGTAGAAAAACCCAGAGAAAATAGATTGACAGCTTTATAGCCACTACCAAGGTTCTCTCTTTTAGGGACAAGTACAAATGCAGGAGCTCAAATGCGTTGTCAGTTCCTGCATTCAAACTCGGACCTCTGCACATTTTGAACAGAGAAGCTGCAAAAATAAAGTGCTGATGATTGTGAAATAGTAGCACCTATATAAGAAATATTAAAACCTAAAAATAGCTGAAAACTAACGTCAGTCATGTTAATAAAGATGTTTGTTTATTTGCGTTAAAGATGACTGAACAGTCCTAACCTGAAGACCAGTAATGGGGTGCTAGTTGCTTCCATCTGAAGGAGAGTGAGTCAGCAATGGTCAGTGACAGATTCTTTGTACTGGGATAATAAGTTAGAAAGCATATTTTTCAGTATGTTAATAATGATGAAAATACAGAATTATTGCAAAGATGGAAATTGAAAAACTACTTAAGTCTTCACCTACTGTCTCATAATCCACGCCTAAAAATCAAATAAGCTTCTAGGAACATAGAACACTTGTTGCAAGACCCATATGGTATTTTAGAAAACACCCACAGTTATGAACTTGACTTACATGGGAAAAGCAGTTGTTGGTGAGGAAAGTCTCAGAATGAAATACAGCCTCTTTCAGTATGGGCAGAGAGAAGAAAGGGCAGCAGGGACATACATCATCAAACACAAATGCTATATGGACACTTTCAGGAGCAGACTTTGATTCCTTTTATCTTTTCCCAAGATAATATATCCATGCCAACATTACAGGATCCTGTAGATGAGTTGGGTCAAGATCATCGTAGTTCACAGTCAGTACATGCTTACTCTGGAACTCTCTGAAGGGCTCAAAGTCTTACAGCAACACAAGGAAAATCACAGATGGAGAAAATGCCTTTTCAACATGAGCCACTAAAATGCCTGAGCAACCAGATGGGAAAACTGAGAAAATAAAACTAACTTCTTGAGTGTGACCATAAAATTCCTGCTGAAATCTCTTCTTTTCCTGCAGTGGTAAGACCTGACTGACAGCAAATTAGGAACATGTGAAAGGCCATAGCAGATCAAATCAAAGGTCCATCTAGCCTGATACCTTCTTTCACAGAGATACAAAAGCATAAAGAGTATAAAACTAGAGCAAATTATAATTGCCCCAAATATTACTCCAGACTTCCAACAGCTTATGGCTTAAGGGGTTTCTGAAATAAAATGTATTTCAAGGATGAGTTACAAAGTGTGTGCATTAAAAAAGGAAAAGAAAAACAGAAGGAAAAAAAAAGAAATCTTTGTTTAATTTGAACTTGCCACCTGCTAAGTTTGCCCAATAGCTCCTGGTTGCTGTGCTACAAGAGGCAAGTAATAGTTGCTCTCCATTCACAATTTAAATGATACTTGTGATTTTATAACTTGGATCCTATCTCCCCTCAGCCAGCCTCTGTCCAGGGCAGAGTCCAGGGCTGCTTAGCTGGTTCTGTAAGAGATGTGTCAGAATTGCAGAGATACCCAAGATGGAAGCAAATGAAAGATTTGAAGAGTGGCATATTAATATACTCTATTTCATTCCCATTTCCCCTCGTGGTAATCCCTAACAGTTTGATATGGCAAAGCATTTTAGGAAAATCTGGACATTAAGCCTGCTTTAATGGGTAGTGGAATCTGGGATCTTTAATATGTGCTGTTCACAGTGATGCTTCTTGGGTGCAGGGAAAACGTAAATGTAAGGAAAAGCCAAGAGGGAAGAAGGGAGAGGAAGGGAGGGAGGGAGAGAAAGGAGGCAGAGAGGGAAAGGAAGGAAAGGAGGGAGGGAGGGAAAATTTTTTTGCAGAAATCCCTGGTGTTGTGGCAGCATCACAACAGCCAGTCCTGGAAGCACAATTCAATAGTGCTCCTGAAATCCATGGAGGGGTAAGACCATGCAGTGAATCCTGTGGTCCAAATTAATTTCTTGGAAGCTGGAGATGTCTTTTTGCACACATTAGGCAAATAGAGTTTTAGGATAAATATGATGCATTATAGCAGTGAAACATCAGGATATAAAAGTTTTATAGAAAATAGATACCATCTAATTTTAGAAAATGCTTGTAAATTAGTAGATATACTCTAGAAAATACTCTTAAAGTTCCCTCAAACAATTAATTGCTATTCTCATATACACTATCCAGGAACCTGGAAGAAGAACCAACAGTGCTTGTGTACTGCATTGGTTTCCTAAAGCTGAAATTTTAAAACACAGAAATGAATTACATATTTTTGTGTGTTCTCAATTGTTTTGATCAGTAATGCTAACTAAGGATTTGCATGAATCAGGGCTGCAGAGAATGGTAATTTTGATGAATTACTGATGTTTTTCCTGTCCAATTTCTCTCATCAGTGTTGCTGGTAACAATCCTTGTAGTGGAAGGGATTGCTGTTGCACAGAAGACACAAGGTACAGTTTTAGTTTGGTGATTTTCTGTCAAAAAATGTAACAGTTTTGTAATTTTGAATTGTGCAATATAAATGAAAGAAAGTATTTGTGTTCAGGTGTTAATAGCTCTTGGATTACCAATATGAATTCTAGTATTTTCCATTTTCCCCCATTTGCTGCATTTTCTTCTGAATGAACAAAGCAATCCAGTCACAAAGAACATGGAAGTTCACTCACCCAGTTAAAGTTCTGTGGTTTTAGATGACAGAGGTGGGAAAGAAGCCACCATGGAAATTCATGTTTTCTTGTATCTGACAATAAGCTTTTCAAATAGTCCACCCACAAGCATTTTTGAAGACTGCTGAGTGGGGAAGGCATCAATTTCACAAACCTCATTTTCTTGTATGTAAGATTAACCCACACTTAAAAGAGGACAAGAATTCCTTGAACTGACACCTACAGAATTTCCTTGGAAAATTTCTGCAGGAGAGAGAGTTTTCACCCCCATAAATCAAGAAGCTGCCAAGATATCAGTGGAAGGTGATGTAATTTACTGGAGGCAGCTAAGACCAGTATCAGCATTGGGTGTCCTCTCAAAGGTGTGCGAATTAAAACCGCATAGATAAAGTTAGATATTGACAAGCACCTTAAAAGAGGGGTTTCAACCAAAATTAACTACTGTCCTCTTTAATGGGCTGTGCGTCATGCCAGTGTTTTACTTTTGCGATATCAAACCTGCAGGCTTGCAGAGGAAATTTCGTTTATCGCTTTTTTTTTTCCACTCAAGGTGGGCAAAATATCGGAGTGAATCGCATCCCCCCCACCCAGTGCGACAACTGGGTACGGACGAGTAATGGAGGACATTTTGCTTCACCAAACTACCCAAACATGTACCCCCCAAACCAGGAGTGCATCTATATCTTAGAAGGTACCTGCTGTATTTCTGTTTCGTTGTGCTGTAATCTTCCTGTTAAATGGATAATCTTGAACTGTTAGGACTCTGTCGTTCTACAGTACTGCGAAGTATTGCTTTGCCATACTGGTGATATAATAAATTCTGCATAAATTTACTTGAACAAGAAGCTAAATTTGCTCTCTGAAGTAATAATAACAAATTAATAAGAAATGCAAACATGAAAAAAATTAGCTGTAGGGAATAAGACATACCCTCACAGCCAGAAATAGCAGCGTCAGATCTACTGTAATCTATGAAGACACAGAACCATTAAGATAAAAATTGTAGTTTGTTATCTTAATATCACTGATAATAAACAGCAAAAAATGAAGACTATTTTCAGACCATATTGTGTTATTCTAAGTCTATCTCACCAGCAGAAAATCATTATGCTGTCCTTCATTAATAAAAAAGATACATCTGAATGCCATAGCACTGTACTAAAAATACAGAGATTTGTTAGCACTGCTGAAGTCACTATTAAAATAATGTGCTGAGGACAAAAAATTGTCATTAACTTGAATAAAGCCACATTCCAATGAGAATATCTTGGATAAAGGCTGCAAGACTTGAGACACTCTAATTATTTTTCCTCTTATTAGAATGCACCCAAAACCCACTGAAGTCAGCTAAAAATATTAGTCAGCTTAATCATCTGATTCATATCAATTAATTGAAATATTTCAAGTGGTAGGTTTCAGTGAGTTTTTATTTGTACAGTACAGTGGTGGTTCACAGACACCCTTTCTGTGTGTACACGTGCAGAGTTCCAGCTTTGAGTCTTGTCTGACCGTGAGGGCACCGTGGAACACACACAGCCAGTCTGGCTTCAGGGGCCAAACGAGGCAGTTGACATGGGCTCAGAATCAGCTCTCAAACCTCTCCTCACAGCCCTTCCACAGAAACATTGTGGGTACCTGAGTGAGGCCAAGGCCCTCCAGAATTTCTCACCAAGATCTGTGTGTTCCTGCAGATCACTGCCAGGCTGCACAAGCAGCTACAAATGTGTGTAACTCATGTGTAAGGAAGGTGTGAGGTCTGAATGTTAGAGGCACGTCAGCAAATGCTTTTCACATCCAGAGGAAGCAGCCAGTGTGGGATTCCTTAATGCTGGCACTCCAGATACCAGTGAGTATCTGAAAGTTCACACAGCTCAAGAGGTGCCAAGAGCAAGGAACACTAAAGTTATTCACACAGTATAAAGCCAGGGATGTGAAAGTCCCGTCTCAAAGCAGTCATAGCTGCGTCTCATCAGGATTTAGGGGTCTGATCCAAATCCTGATATTAGGCTGCCACTGATTCAAGACTTGCCAGCATCTGTAGCCACCTGCATATTAATAACATATTTAAAGCATTTGCACTTCTCTGAATAGTCTAATAAAAGATGTCTTCTGCCAATGGATCTGCAACTTTGGACATTATGTTTAAGAAATGCACCAGTCAGTAGTTCTTCATATCTTCCTCTTTTCCATTTTTTTCTGCACACCTCACTGTTTTGTCCTATACTGTATATTTTACTTTCGCATAACACTGGGGTTAATTTATATCTTAATAACTAAATCTTGTTTGAGTACCTCTGCATATATGTTAATATGGCACATGTGCTGCATTAAATTTATGGGATTTCTGAATTTTCAACAATGAAGATCAGCAAGCAAAAAAAATCCTGTAAAACTCTATGCGAAAGTATCTTTTACAAAGTAATTTAAAAATTTTATAACGGTGTGTCTGAATTTTTGTAGCAGACTGCCAGATATATTTTGAGAAGTTTCCGCTCTCTTTTTCATCTTGCTGTTTTGGAGGCCTGTCTCTTCATTATTTCACATCTTCATGGTTTTTATCTAGACCTTCATTTAATCTTTTTTTTTTTTTTTTATGTCTAGCTGCTCCACGACAAAGAATTGAATTGACCTTTGATGAACCTTATTACATAGAACCTTCATTTGAGTGTCGGTTTGATCATCTGGAGGTTCGAGATGGACCTTTCGGTTTCTCCCCTCTCATCAATCGTTACTGTGGTCTGAAAAGTCCTGCACTAATTAGATCAACAGGGAGATTTATGTGGATCAAGTTTACATCTGATGAGGAGCTGGAAGGAAAGGGATTTCAAGCAAAGTACTCATTTATACCAGGTAAAAACGTCTAAAATCGTGAGTTAATGACCATCTGCTCCCACTGAACTCTGTGGGTGTGTTTGAGCTCTCAGTCTAGAGCTGCATTTCATCATTAGTGCTTGTGAAGGCACAGTGGCAATGTGATAGTCACAGTCTCAGTCTTGCTTGGGACACTTGACTAAAACCACTTCGGAAAGTTGACCAAAGGAAATCACAGGTCTGTAGTTTGGTAATGAAGAGGACAGTTGATCTTGTTCATGCTGAAGTCTTCAGCAGCATCCCTCTTTGTTCCTCTACCTTGTACCGGTTTCACCGGTGATAGTAATGGAAGAAGCCTCTGTGCACACAAACAGCTGCATTTTCAACAGCCTGTCCTCCAGCAATATGAGACACTGACAAAAACACCCGAAGCAAATCTACAATAGCACTCCAGCCAGATGCAAAACATTTTAAATCTCCATTCTGAAAAGCCAGAGGACATTTCTATACAGTCCAAGCATCAGCTCTCAGTAGAACTAGATTCCCTCAATCCACAGGCTCAGCCCACAGAGCTGCTCTTTGCTCACAGGACTGTGTAGTTTACAGGTAGGAAGGAGACGATAATGTGCTGACAGTGCCTTTAGACAAACAAAAGTACATCTGCTCTGTGGGGCCACTTAAAACTGGCAGGGCATTATTCTTACATGAAAATTTGACCTGATGTCCTTGTGCAACGCTTGACTACTGTACTTCATGGATTCTACACGTGTGGTTATCAGCATTTTATTGTCCTTTGGGACGAAAGGCAATATAAAAGTGTCAGTTCTGCTCCTTTTACAAATGTATACACAGGCATAGCTTAATGTCACCTTTACCCAACTGGTCTTTACTCCTATAGCAGATGAATACAATATCTCTGATTATATATTACTGCTTAGGGATTTAGACTTGGAAATTTCAGATGAACATGGTGGCCAGTCCACTGGGAATAACACGTTAAAATGTTTTCATAGGGGCAGCATTTATGCATTTTGCCAAGTCCATTTCCAAAGACATTTCATAAACATCACTAAATTAGCATAGTTCCAGGCTGGAACTTTAAATATACATTTAAATGTTTCTCTTCTGATTTGTGAGGAAACACTAACCTGATCACTGAAGTGGAAGCCTTGGACATGCCAGCCCATTACAGACTCGCTTTTAGCTGAGTTCTAGTCTCAGCAGATCAAGTACCATCAGTTAACCGTTATGGAAAAGTATATTCTTATTTCACTAGTATTGTGCCCAGAGTGTGCTACTACAGGTTTACTGCAGATGTGTACAGTACCTACACGTCACACTGAAGAGAAAGGAGATGGAGGAGCAATCAAGGTGAGATTCTGCTTTCAGAAATGAGGTCTAGAACTGCACTACCTGGCCTAGTAGAAGAGATAAAGGTACCCAGGGAAAAAGTATCTTCAGGATTGAACTGTCCTTCTTCACATCCGTTATTAAGAGCAGTTAGCAATTTCAAAGTCTTGATATATTCTACTAAACTCAGTTCAAATTGTTCAAAACTAGACAGCAGTCTGATAAAATAAATCTAGTTAATCTTTCTGCACACAGAAAGTTCCCCAGTACTCTTGTGGAGCTCCAGCAATTTCAGTGAAAACTGGAATAGTTAAATTCAGAACATAATGTAGGAACAAAATACTGAATAGTCTTTTTTAGTGTTATGTTAGATATGTGAGCTGCCAGGATAGAATTGCCTTATTCTGATAAGGTCAATCGTTGTGGAATAATGTTCTCATCTAAAAAAACTGCCTCGTTCCCCTCCAATTGCTTCAGTAAACTTTCTGGTAATTTTTATTGTGACATACTAAAAAACGGACATAATTTGCAGATAATACTAAACCTTGAAGTGATTCTCGAGCACTGATAGCCCTTGTGATTCATGACTTCTTTCTCTTGCAGATCCTGACTTCACTTACCTAGGAGGCATTTTAAATCCCATCCCAGGTCTAGTATTACAGTAACAATTTCTTTATACATGAAATTTTAAATTAATATTGTACTGCATTTGACAGCAAGGTTTATCTTCTCCCTAGACTGCCAGTTTGAGCTCTCAGGAGCTGATGGAATAGTACGTTCCAGTCAAGTAGAACAAGAAGGAAAAACAAAGCCAGGACAAGCAGTTGACTGTATATGGACAATTAAAGCTACTCCAAATGCTAAGGTGGGTTTTGTTCACATAATTCAGTATATAATGTGTTTCCATGACATTCATAACAGGGAATGGTCACTAGCTGGGATTTGCATAATGTCTTACTTTCACCAAAATGAGTTATGTATCAGTGGTTTAGGAAATCCAGAGAGATAATTGTTTCTGAAATTAAACTTACACAAGTCCACAGAGCTGCCTTCCTATTATTTGAAACTTCAAATACCAAATAACTGTGAAAACTGTTTAAGCAACAATTTTCAAGGGCATTTGACTTGAACTCTGGTTTTATTGGAAGACTGCAGGCAAAAATGCTGGCTAACACCTTTGATAATTTCCGGTAAATCTCACTGCCATGGTTTAGCATTTTACCTCCAGTGGTTCTGTTGGAGAATTTGGTTCTGTTTGAAGTCAACACAACACGTGCCTGCTTCTCCCATCTAATTCACAATCCACCGCATTAAAATCCACTTTTGTCAGCAGTCTGAGCTAAAAGGAAAGGCTCAGCTTTCACCTGGAAACAGCTGAGAAATTATCACTCTTCTGACTTAGCTAGAGGATCACGATCTCCTAAAGTGTCTCAGTAAAATTTGCTGGACTTTTTCTGCCCAAGCCCTAAAGGGGCATTATCAGCTGCTGGAGCCAGAAATCAACATTAGTTACTCAGGTACCTGCTATTTATGATTGTGCTGCAGAACTAGAGACTGCTTACAAAAACATTGCTGTCTTATGCTCATTAAAAACCTCGAGATTTGTTGTTAGGCAGAGAGAAGGATAAAATCCTATTCATAATTCCAAATTACAATAGCTACAGCCTGCTTAAAAAAACCCAACAGCTACACATTTCAGAATCGTGTATTTGTTAATTACGAGTTGCACAGAAGAGTACCTATTTTTATTTTTTTGTAGCATACTTATCTTTAACTTTGCTTCTGCTTGCATGTACATAAAAATTAAAAAATATTTCTAAGCAGTAGCTGCCAAGATGACAAACCTCTGTGCCTTCTTACACACTCCTTATAGTTAACTAACCAGCCCTGTTAACCAACTTCCAAGTGTATTCTAAAACAGCAGCCTAAAAGATGATAAGAAGGAGGACAAGACAAGAAAGAAACTAAAAGTCCATTAATATATTTGAGCCTTTGAGGAAGTGACTCAACTCCCAAGAGCCCTATCCTGGTCTAAGTAATAGCAGTTCTACCAGAAACAATAATAAAACCATTTTCTCTCTACATTGCCACTTGAGTGCACGAGGTCTTATACTTAAGCATTTTAATAAATTATTGAATGATGCCAGAAGGCAGAGTTATAGTTGGGTGAGTCCTGAGATTAGATCATCATCCTACATTATTGATTTAAAACATTACAGAAAAATAATTCTTAGTATTCTGACAGTGGTTTCTCAAGCTTCAATTCTGGCAGAATTACGGTGATAAAATCCATTAGATCTGATATGGTTCTCTCTTGAGAAAAATAAGCATAGACATTTTTAATTTCCTCAACCTGATTTTGTAATAAAAATAAACTTTTAAAACTGACACAACTACAGCAATTAAAGTACCTTTAAAATCTGCATAACAGAGAAGCATCTATTATAAATTATATATATATAATAAATTGCCTCTAGATTTCAGAAAATTACAAGGATAATCAGTATAATCTAAGAGTAAGGACCTTTTACATTTGCCTAACAGTAACCCAGATGAGCTTGTGAAGAGGTGAGGGCTTTTAATAGAATTATTCCTTTGTTTTCATACAAATAATAGATCTACTAAAAATGTGCTAATTTATTTTTAGTTTCCATTGTAATTTTGTGGCAGATCTATAAAGTCAATCATTAAAAGAAAATACCATCTCTCAGCCCAAATACTACCACTTACAGCTCACACCCACGCCTGTGAGATAAGACATCAGTGGAAGACAGGCTCTCAGTGTAGCTGAGAATTTCCAGCAGTAAATCTAACAGAAACAGCAGGGGGGGAAAGAAAACAGAAAAAAAAAAAAGAAAAAAATGTGTATACTGAAAAATCACAAAACAGTGAGGTGAAGCATGAGATGATATGGCACAGGCTGCACCTTTGGACAGACGGTGCAAGGGAAGGCAGTGCTGGCAACCTGCCTCTGGAAGCACTGGGAGGGAAAAGCCAAGGGGTACAAGTGTCACCTGTGTTTCCCTGTGCTCTTTTACCCTGTTTTCAGTAAAACCTGTTAGGTGTATGGGGGGATGTGCTGTGTATCTTTTTTCGCCCCCACACAAAGGTGGTTAATTTTATTTTAGTGAATTCTTTATAAATCAATTTTGAAAGGCTTTGGCACTCACTGGGGTTAAAAATGAGATATGGCAAAAGGGCAGAAAACCAGGTAAATAGAGCTGATGCAGGTGTGGGGTTCATCCACCCTGACTTCCTCATTCACAGCCTAAGCAGGACTTGTTGGGCAGAGATAAAAATCCACACTATGCAAAAAAAATTCTTTAGCATCCATAGCAGGGGCCAGAGAGGTGATCAGAGATGTCCTCAGAACACACCCAGGCTGGAGCCAGGCTGACCTGAGCACATGGGGAAGAGCTCAGGGACAGAGGGGAAGCAGGAGACCTCAGCCTCCACCTGGACACATTTCTCCTCTCAAAACAAGGGCTATCTGACAAACTTTGAAAGTTGAAAATGGCCCTTGCAGCTCGCATAGGTGACCTAGTTTCATATCTCATAAACTTTCACTAGAATTCTGAGAGTTCAAATACAGCCATTTAAGAGATTAAAAAGCCCTTATGAGGTGTTCATGTCATTCTAGCTGAGTTATTATCTTGCACGAGTTTCCTGCTCCAGCAAAATAAATTATTTCCTTACTCTTTAAGTACCATCTCAATCTTCTAATTTTCTTGTTGCACATGTTCAAACACATATGCTGCCTTTTCTTGGATTAGATTTCTGCTTTTTGAAGAATTAAGATTAGCGTAAATTTATTACCTCTTCCTACATAGCCAGCTTACTTTTCTCTCTCAGTTCCATTTTTATTCAAATTACTCCTGACTTCATGGTTTGTGTCTTCCATAACACTGCTATGGTTCAGTAATTAGCTTTCATTCTGAGGCAATAAATTTTAATTTCCTTATTTTACTTCAGAGCTTCTCTGACTAGACTCTTTCCCTTATATTTTAACATTATTTTTATGAATTAAAAAGAAAGGAGAAGAGTCAAAATACCATTAAAATTATTTTAGCACATTTATACATTCCTTGTATCTCTTCTAGAGTAATAGACTTCCCATTTAGCAGAGCTGCTTGGGGGTTTCTTCAGCAAGTGTGCTGCTTTGTGCTTTTATTTCCAAAGGGAGCAGAAATATATCAAAGGAAATTGTTAAATAAGGACTGTTTTGGGGAACGGAAAGAAGTGAAACAAATACCTAAGACAGAATTTCAGGTAATACTCCACGTGGACATTTAATGACGAAATGTAAGTTTAAAAGTGTTGTGAATTGGGAGTTACCCGTATTTGTAAGTGAACAAAACATCTTACTCAATATTTGCTAAGAAAGAAAACCATCTTCTCTGTGGTACTTTCCCCGGAGACATTAACTCCTCTTCTCTAACAGATCTACATGCGCTTTCTCGACTACCAAATGGAGCATTCCAATGAATGCAAGAGAAACTTCGTGGCTGTGTATGACGGGAGCAGCTCCATCGAAAACCTGAAGGCCAAGTTCTGCAGCACCGTGGCGAACGATGTGATGCTGCAGACGGGGACAGGGGTGGTGAGGATGTGGGCAGACGAAGGCAGCAGACTGAGCAGGTTCAGGATGCTCTTCACTTCATTTGTGGACCGTAAGTAGATTTTAAAGTGCCTGTTCTCCTGCTATTGGGACACTTCAGGTGTTTTAGGGAAGGCATCAGATACATGTTATGCAGCAGGAGTACATGAAAAAGGTTATTTCTGTTTCTTTCACATAGTAGCTGGTAAATTAGGTAATTGCTTTATTACAGCTGTAAGGTGGTTCCTGAAGAACCACCTTTCTTAGAAGGCTCATTTTCCATTTGAATTCAGCAATAATTCCACCCTAGGCTATGTCCTTCCCACAAAGAGTTCTACAAACGAGCACAGACTTACTTCAAAAAGACAACACAGGGACTGAAGTGAGCTCTCCCACCAGCCCCCACCTTCCAGTTCCCTTCCAGGCACCACAACAGGCACTGCTCAAGCCCACACTTGATATTCATAAGGCTAGAAAATGTGCTTGTTCTCCTTCCTATCCACAGCTCTACCTTCAGTGTAGAGCTACCACTCTACCACTCTACCACTCCACCGAAGCCATCCCTTATCCTCAGCTACATGTGACTCTAAGAGATTTTTGTGTTGTTGAGTTTGGGTTTTTCTTGGGAGGCTTGTGTGTTTGGGTTTTTTGGTTTTTTTAATGCAAGAGGTTGAAACACTAAGTACTCCTAAAGCTAGATAACTTTTCAAACTTAAAATTTTAAAGCAGCTCAAAAGTCTTTAGCAGAAGAAAATCTGTAAAGGAATGTGGTTATTCTTTTTTACTTGGATACTGCCTTTCTTGGTAGGTAATTGAAAAGCATGTGGCTGAAAAATGTATCACGTACTTTTAAATAATCTAGTCATAAACAATATTTCTAGCTGAGAAAGGGGAATTCACACATTTTCAGATTGTTAAGCTATCTTTCTCATCTACCTTGCTAATGATTTGTAATTATATGAAGCCAACCATGAAAATGATCAATATTTTTGAAAACATTTACATAAATGAACTAATTGTGCATGACAGTCACCTAACACACACCTAGTGCTAATTGCAGATTTGACTAAGTAATTCAGCTAAGAGCAATGTCAAAAATCAATGTATTTGATTTCTGGCTTGATTCAATACATGAATAATGCTGGATACAAAGGACACTGGGAACATTGCACCGGTCTTAGGCAGCTGGTATGAGAAGAGTCCAGCTATGTCCTTGAAGTCCTGGACTGGAACTGATCAATCATTGTGACTTTTAGTCTTCATACTCCTCAAATAACAAACAAAAAGAAAATTAAGTCCATTTGTCTCATCTTTACAAACTGTGGACATCCCCACAAAAAGTTAGAGACTATTCAAAAATGTACAATAGAGACTGTGCTAGTGGATGGAGAAGCAGCAACAGAAAGGATCAACCAAAAATACAGAACCACCTGTTCAGGGAAATAAGAAAGGGAACGTGTCTTACATTCCTGTTTATTCCTCTGTGCCTCCAGAAGAACTACAACTCCCTAAAGGTCCCTATCAAAACACCAGCAGATACACATAGATCCACAACCACCACTTTGGACATGAATTTCATAGATCCTCCTTTATCTCACAGTCAGAAATATTTTAGTAGATACTGTAGCCTATTACATACACACCCATTTTAAACTATTGTGTTTAAATTCTGATCCTGGTTATCCTTTATAAAGCAAAGCTTGCACAATCTTTCTTTCCAAAATCAGAAAGGAAAAACACCTAAGTCTTTTCTCCCCACATGTGGTAATAAGGCCAAGAGCCTTTTATTTTATAGTCTGCATCATGAACACTTCCATTTTGATTATTAGCCTTTCTCCCATTATTATAGGTATAATAGTTAGAAACGTTGACTGCGTCTTCCCATTTCTATGAATGGCTTTAGGTTGTCTGGGATACCTGTTTTCATATTTAGATTGATAATCTTGCATAACTTTTGTCCTGTCATCATTTAGTCCTTCAGGGAGATGTGAATCCCTTTGGAATATAACTGCAGCATCATTTCAGACATTCCATCACGATGCATCATACGATGCTTCCATTAGGCCTTGAGCCATTAACGATGTGCATTTTCTTAGCAGCCACTCTTGATACATTACAGGAGACCATTTGTCACATCAACAACACAACAACCATCCTCCTTTATGTTTCCTTTCCTAAAGAATAGCAGTTGATGAAAAAGGTAAAGACATAGTTAAGTCTGAATTTGTAACATTAAGTAGGAAAATGTTTGATTTTATTCTTTTATTTATCAAGGAATTGCATTGACCTTGGTGGGGGGGGGGAAATCCCATTGAAAAATGGTTTGGCCCTTAGAAAAAGTTGGATATAAAACATTATTGAAAAAGGCTGTTGATTTAGAGCCTACCTAGGAAGTCTCCCTGGTCAGAGAGGATCAGGGAGAGCAGCTTTCCCAGGACCATATGAAGTCGGTTGGTGAACATCTCCAAGGATGGAGACTCCACAACCTCTCAGGGCAACCCATATGGATCATATTAGGTACTCCAGGTCCTTGTCTTTGTGCCATTTGCCTCAATCCCCCAGTGCTGGGCAGGGAGGATGAATCCCCTCCCCTGACCTGCCAGCAGTGCTCTCCCTAATGCAGCTCAGGATGCTGCTGGTTGGTTCTTTGCTACAAGGGGGATTACTGCCTCACGTTCCCCTTTTTCTCCACCAGGACTTCGAGTGTTTGTCTGTAGATCTGCCTTGCAGCTGGCTGGCCCTCAGCCTGGATGCATTTGTGGAGTTACTCCTTCACTGCTGCAGGACTTTGTTTCCTTTTGTTGAACTTTTTGAGGAGGAAAAGGTGTTCCTGAGGCTAAATCTACTTTCCATACTATTAAATTCTCAACTCACTTCAGGAGAGAAGATACATGTGATAGCTACCATGACATTTTTAAGCTCTGAAACTACATGGATAAACTCTCCCAAAATACACTCTAAATACATTCTGTATTACACTTGCACTACAGTTAAAGCACAGACTTCCTACATGGAACTTCTTGCCAGATTGCCAGGGTTAAGCAGTGACAGAAAGCTAATACAAAGGCTTAAAACCAATGAGTGTAGGTTACCAGACTTAGTGGAGTAAGAAATGGGAAGACAATGCATATTAAATTTAGGGAATGCAAATTCAGAATTAAAGGTCTGAATTTTCTTTTTTCTTTGACGTAACTCCTCTTTTTGTCACTGAGACTCTGAAGTTCAACAGAAGGAATAAGTGGGAAATGCAGTATTCAGGAGTAGCCATTCCCCTCTGCTCTACTCTAGGAATAAATTCTTTTTATGACACCAAATAGTCAAATGTCTATCACACATCTTTGCTGTGTAATATATAACTGAATCCACTAATAATAAACATTTCTGTGGTGAAAATAGCACATTACTGAAACAGAGAAAGGGAAAACCAATTTCTTGTCCAGTGCCCTGAATTCATAAATAATTCTCTATGTATATTATATCACACTCTGAAAAGAATTATTACTATTTTTTAATATTTTTTTTTAAAGTCAAGGAACTATAACAAATATTCACAAAAACATCAAATCTCCAGGGCAGCTTTCTAGTTAATATCTTTCTTCAAACTTCTAACTATATATAGACAGATAGATAAAAAGCTAAACTGTACTCTCTCAATCCCTGCATTAGCTCTAATAGGAGGATCCAGGAGCTTTTGATTCACAAGCAGGACTGACTTAGATGCCTCCAGTTATTGAAATCTCTTGCAATTACTGAAACAGTCCTCCACAAGCTGAAATCTGATTTGCCTTAAGATATTAATGGGCTCTAAAATGCAGATGCTCAGGGGCTGCCTCACAACATCTACACAGCAGATGCACAGCAGAATAAATATATAATTGATGGTGAGCATGAGATTTTTAAGTATTAAGTTTTTAAAGACATGAATTAAAGCCTGCTTCCATTATCTGTATTTTGTGACTGCCTCTATCTGGTACCTACCCACTTGGAGCAAGAATTTTCTTTTTGTAGCATAGACAACACACCTGAAAGCAACCACATGGAGAGAGAGAAAATCATCTGATAGTTAATGATTGAAAGAAAAGGGATTGTGTTTGAAACAAAGATAAAGAATGTGCTAGCATGTTAAAAAAACAAACAAGAACTTACTAGTTTTATTGCAATGCATCAATTCCTGAAAATTCTGAATGTTTTCTTTCTGCTCTCTCCTACAGCTCCCTGCTCAGGCAACACTTACTTCTGCCATAGCAACATGTGCATCAATAATTCTTTAGTCTGCAATGGCATCCAGAACTGTGCATACCCTTGGGACGAGAATCACTGCAGAGGTGAATACAGTGCAAAGTAGAACCTTTATGAGCTGGGCTGGTCAGTTTGCCTTTCAAGAAAGCCATGAAATGTCTTTTTCCTGGAAATATGCTGAAGACAGCTATTCTGCTAATCTCAGGAAGGTGTTCCAAATTTTATGTTTAAACTCAGGAGACATGTAAAGCTTCCTGAATATTGACCTTACTGCTTCATAACTCTTCAGGATATACTCTCTATTTTAAAGGGATATTAGCTTGATAAGAAAAAGAATGTAATATTTTCCAGGCTGCATCCTGTCCATTTCTAAACTTCACCTAAAGTGAGGATTGTAGGGACAGGTAGTGCCTTTTAGAGGAAAAAAATAGAGAGCTGGAAAAACACAAACAAGCTTTCAAGCATAAAAAGCCTTTCTCAGGGCTGAGAATAGAAAGCAACAAAATAGAAGCAACAATCCTGGAAGACAAATACAATTTTAAAATATTTGAGTTGTAAATTGCAGGCTATTTCAGAGTGAATTCAGCTGCTGCATATGGTGTGAGAAAGGATGGGAGGAAGGAGGAATTGTTAGGAAGAGTAATCACTTATGGAAAACAGACATGTAAATCTCTGCCTCTAGAACACGGTGCAGGAAGTATTATTTAAACCATCACAACTGCAATAAAGATTTGCTTCAAAATCAGGTTTTGTAGGAAAAATTCTCATGATTTGAGGAAATTGTTATTCTGTTAAAGCACCCCCAGTTTTTTATTACCTTTTGGGTAAACAAAAAAAAATTCACACCACTAATAAATACTCTTTATGTCTTGGATATTATGGAAGCTTTCCAGCTAACAGAACTGATCTATAACTCCCAAGTTCTCAGTGTACAGCTAAGCTTCCTCTAAACAACCCTTAGCTTTGATAATATTCAACATTCCCTCTTAAGTGCAATTTCTAGATCTCTTTCCCATCTTTACCAAATGCCTTCTGGAATCTCACCTAGAATCCACACTTCACTCACGTACTGCAGGATTAAAAAAATTAATTCCACGAAAAACGTGCTGTAATGTGAAAAAAGAGTATTTCCCAATATTTGTAAATTGCTATATCTGGTGCTGAACAACCTATCATGTTTTTTATTTAATGCAAGCTAAATTCTGCTGTAGTACTTGCACAGCAGAAAATTTAGAGGCAGCTGAAGACCAGATCCGTATTGCCAGCTATGGGAGACTGATGCAACCAAGTAAGCAATATTTAGCCTTAAAAAGAAAACTGCTCACAATTGTGCTCAGTTCCTGCAGGCACCCAGAGTTCTCATTTAGTCCATATCAATAGCTACATAAATCTGAGCATATTGTGACCTACTTATGCCAAAGCCCTGTAACACAAAAATTGTTAGAAAAGTCAGTTGTGTGCAATTTATTTTAAGAGACTGGAGAAGACATCACCTTTTGCGTAACAACTTTTTGATTGAAATATCTTCCAAGAATTAAGAAACCTAGATGCAGACAAGAGAACTTCCATGGCACAGGAATCCATACCTCCAACAGTCCAAGCTGTGAAGCAGAAATGTAACTTCTTATTCCAGTTCCCTGGGAGTCTGTTTAGTACATGGATCATTTCAAATAACACGTGAGGGTGTATAACTCTCTCCATGCACAGTGTGTGGTACTCAGGTGCATAACACACATATTCAGGTGCCAGATATCTGAAGATATTATGCAATATTTAGGCTACTACATTTTCTTCTACATAGTCTTAAATGCTTTTCCTCCCCACTAGCAGATACTGCAGAGCCTCAACTGTAGAAATCTTTCAGTCCCCTAGGACAAGAACATTTACAGAGGAAAAAATCCAACTGGCAAATTTGAGTCTTCAAATAAGAACTTAAAATATGGAAAATGGCCTTGTTCTGATGCTGCCATCTTGTGTGGTTTCATATGAAGTACTAGCCAAAATTTGCATTAGTTGGTTCCCCTCCCTCTTTCTTTTTTCCTCTCAACTGACTTGATTACTGGACTCCTAAAACTGGAATATATCTATGCTAAAACTCCCTGTGTTGAATTAGGTATAACAGCCTCACACAATAGACACAGCCATTACGTTTCCAAGAGATGTGAAAGCAAACATAGCCATTCTTACATCTGATACCACTGTGATAATATTTCATTTTTAAAGAAGAACTAGCTGATTGTAAATCTAGGTTTTCTTCCACGGACATCAATGGGAATGTTGCCAACAGGAATAAAGCATGGCAAGAGAAGCGTCAGCTGTAGCTGGATTTAACCTATTTAAGGTTAATTTAAGCCTGTTTAATTCACAGATTTTGGAATACGAACTGATCAGTTAAGGTTCGGGATGGAAATCACCCCCAGCTGAGTCAGCAAGCAGTGGTCACAGAATTCCACCTGCCACTGAATTATCATATGGTAGCCACTAATGACAGGGAATTAGACAAATCCCATTGACATACAGGTCTAGTCTCCAGTGCCTTTAAGTCATTTTATTAATGTGGCACTTGCTGGTAATCATAATGATTTGCTTTGTTGAAATACATTATCAAAAGTGTGGAAAATAATAAAAGTCTTATCATGATCCTCATTTTTTCTTTGCAGAAAAGAAAAGAACTGGATTGTTTGAACAAATCACAAAAACTCATGGGACAATCATTGGCATCACATCAGGGATAGTTTTAGTTCTTCTCATCATTTCAATTCTAGTGCAAGTAAAGCAACCTCGCAAAAAGGTCATGGCTTGCAAGACTGCCTTCAATAAAACCGGTTTCCAGGAAGTGTTTGATCCTCCTCATTATGAACTCTTTTCACTAAGGGACAAAGAAATTTCTGCGGATTTGGCAGATTTATCGGAAGAACTCGAGAACTATCAGAAAATGCGACGCCCTTCAACAGCTTCCAGGTGCATCCACGACCACCACTGTGGCTCCCAGGCCTCGAACATAAAACAGAGCAGGACCAACCTCAGCTCCATGGAACTGCCCTTCCGCAACGACTTCGCGCAGCCCCAGCCCATGAAAACGTTCAACAGCACCTTCAAGAAAAGTACTTACACCTTCAAACAAGCGCATGAGTGCCCTGAGCAGGGTATAGAAGACAGGGTGATGGAGGAGATTCCATGTGAAATTTATGTGAGAGGAAGGGAGGATACGGCACAAGGTTCGTTGTCTATTGACTTCTGACTTCCTGGTGAAGGTGGTATCGCTGTATATACGAGATGCTTGTGTACAATGACAGTGTACATATTAAAAGTGTATCATACGCAGCGTGTGAGATGCACACACTTTTAGCTTATTATACTTCATTAAAAAAAAAGAACAACCCAGTCTTCATAACTAATTCTTGCTGAAAAATGGTGAATTTCCTCCCATCTTCCCAAGCTACCTATCTAGTGGAGGAGTAAAACGGAGACTTTGCATGGAAATTATAAGAGAGGATATTGGAAGAAAAAACCCTACAAGTACTAATCACTGAACACTGAAAACAATGGCTACTATTCTCTTCTGGCTACCATTTTTCTCTTCTTTAGACGTCTGCTTTTGAAGACAATTTTAATACCTCACTTGCATAAATAAAGTTAGTTAAGTGCACCCCGTGTATGTCAACATAGGTGTCTTATTGTATTTGTCAAACTGGAAATAGAGTTAGTGTTAAGTGCCAGTTAAGACTCAAGAATTATGTTACTGCCATCTGTTTCATTTGCCTCCCATTTTTATTGCCTTTAATTATCAGTTCCTCACTCTATGCTTTGTGAGAAATAAGTGAAAAGGGTTACTGCCTTTTAAAAATACTAAGTTATATTTTAGGACATTTGGAAATACATAATCTTTGCAGCTTTTGGTTAAACACAAACGAGTAGTCATGTTATTCTAGATGCAGACTTTTACAACAGTTTTCTTTCAAGGTTTAGGATTCTGAAATATTCTGCCATGTATTACAGCTCCATATGGCACATTGATTTCACAGCTCTGTACTTGGGAAACAATTTTGTGCCTGCGTTTTCCAAGTATTTACATAAATAGACTGTACTGTACATTTGTCTCTTAAAATAGCCTTTTACTCCTTGTTGCAGCCAATCTTCCCTACTGAAATCAGTGGTGATACTTTTAGCTCATGTCCTACTTGCCTGAAGAGAACTGCTCTGAGGTCTGTGTGATTACCAGATCTATGAAGATACTGGAAACAAAGAGAATTCACAAAGCAACTCTTATTAACCCTTATGGAACCCTTCTTGTGCCCCTTGTTTCCACTTGCAAAATTGCACATTTCATACCTTTTTTAATGGTGGTTTGGACCTAATTTTAAAATTTTTACAGTATAAAAAATTTTTTAAAATATATTCTCATTGTGGTTTTTAAACTTTTTATATAGTGTGATACTGTACAGACTATTTATTATATCACAATCTAGCACCTGTACAGCAGGCTTGTGTCAGTGGCCCTCTTAGCAGCTCTGAGAACAAGCAGTCACTGCTGCACACATCACAATTTGCCAACAATACTTGCCCATGACTTCCACATTAGCCTACATTTTATTTCCTGGTTGGTTTGAGCTTATTCCAGTATTTTTGGTACATGAAACCTTTCACTAAAGCTGACCTGCCACCTTGCACTGGGCATAGCCTTTATTTACAGGTGTCAAAACATAGTGTTTGTTGGGTTGACTGTAGTACAAACAAACAAAAAATCGTCTTAATGTATGACTGTAGCAGTTGAAAAATCTTTAAAATAAAAGATGAACAACAGCTGCAATCACAAATGTTCATTAGAATGACAAAGCATTTTTGCAATCTTTTTTACAAATGCTTTGGATGTATGACATTTAAAAAAAAAAAAAAAAAAAAAAGAGGGGAATTGAGTTTCTTCAACACTTCCCAACTTCAAAGTTACTGCTGTCTGATGTCCAGAAAGAACTTAATCAGAAGCTCATATATCAGACCCATCAGGCTGTATCCAGGTGTCAGTTTTTGTGCTGGTCTCAGAACGTATTCCAATTCGAAGGAATGAAAATGAGCATTATTTTTAGATGCACTTCACACAGAAGATAAGTGTTAAAAAAAAATCTAGTAAAGTTTGACTCAAAAATTTTTGAATATTTAATTAAAGCATTTGACAGATTTCATTTACTTTCAGTAATATTTTCAGTAAATTTTACACTTTCAGTAATAAATACCTCACCATGACCTATAAGTCACAGAGTGTTATTTCTGACAGTCTGTTAGTTCCAGATTCTTTTTACAAGTACGTAGTTTACACAGGTCATTTTTATCCATATAGCTCCTGTAAGTGCTAGGTTTGCATGATTAAGTTTTCTTTTTAAGCTACATTTCTCCATGTGATAAAAATAACATGATCCCTACTCTTCCCTAAGTTATGTCGTCTCTGAACAGTAAACCTGTATTAATAAAACAAACAGCAAGCCTCCAAAGCCCAGGTCTGTGAGGAAAAGGGACAAGCCCTGTTGAAGAAATTCCCAAATGGCTTGGATAATATTTCAGTCTCTCATAACATTCCAAATCCATGATTGGAGCACAGGTGCTTTTTGGCTACCCCAGGGCACACGGGTGAGCTCCCATAGCCAGTCATGTCCTTTGAGCGCAGCTTTTTCCAATATCCCCAAATCCATCTCTACAAGCTTTGCTTTCCTCCCTTCTTTGCTATCTGTTCTGGCTGCTTTAGGATGTAAGTCAAGACACTCCTGCCTGTTTAACACCTGCCCCAGATTCCCAATACAGAGCAAAGCTCTCCGAGAGGGAACTTCCCTGTATTCCTGCAATAGCAGACCCAATCCTTACTGTGGCAATAGCTGCACACAACCCTAAAGGAATAATGATTTCTCTAGGCCTCTAGAAATAGTAATGGCAAGAAAATGAAGTATTGGTGCAAAGTGAAATTAGCATTGAACCTAAAATTCTGAAAGGAAAACCTGTGCACAATGTGTTTTAAAAGATAATAATGCCTACACATCTCTGGCAGTGTTGGGTTCAGTTACTTAGCTGTGCTCTAGGAAATGAGGGGTAACTATTACAGCCATAATTCCATTTCCACTTCAGTAAAATTCCTTTCACTGAGTGGACTGACTCAGAGTATAGAAACTGGCATTTTCAGCAAAAGAATCTAGTATTGGGTTTGCAGTCTCAATCCAGTTGAAGTGGATGTTGTGGTCTTTAAACTTTTTTTGGTATTAGTGAAAAATACCATCTTTCTTATTTTGCAATATCTAAGTACTTTTAGCATTTTTTCATTGTCTCCATCTTAAATTCATGCATTTCTAGGAGCATCTTGATTTTGCACTCGGTTGTACCCTTATCTGCAATACCATCTGTTAACACTGAACGCTCATTAGCAAAGATCTGCTCACAAGACACACAGCTGACCAGGAAAAGACCAACAGCAGGAACTACTGTTTGGTATTTATAATTAATTTTTACCTTTTATCTTAGTAGCTTAGCCAACTATCTAATATGAATAAGGAATTGTGATAAAAATTGTATAAGTAAACCTCAAGCCAACATGAAAATAAAGGTGACTGTGAACTCTTGCAAGCTCTGTGAGAAGACATCTGCATTTACAGGCATGACAACAGTGATACAGGGAACTGAGGCTTAACACTGTTCCTGACTCTGAAATATATCAGTGATGGCAGAAATACTAATTTGTACTTAAAATGCATGAGATTCTCTTGTCTGCTGTAGACAGGATGACCCTCATAGCACATACAAATTACAATGGCATATTATAAGAATTAGTCTATTTTTACTAAACCAATACAAAGAAGGGTTGTGAAAAGAACTGTCATTGATTTACAAGAAAAGGTGCTTGCTGTGTGAACATGTCACAGAACTTTTAAGTCATTAAAATAGTTTGTTTTGGTTTCTCCTCGGTGCAAAGAATTCTGTGCGTTACCAGCAAATCTACTAAATAAGGAAAAAAGGCTTGACTTACTTGCAAAACAAATTAAATAAGGTTCTTACATCATTGTTCAGGACACTGAAGTTTCCAAACTATGGAAGTATAATCCTTTATCTGAAAGGATGCCAAGCAGAAGTACTAAAAAAAAAAAATAAATCTTGGCACCTCTACCTGGGAAACCAAGAGTAAATTACTGCTTGAAATGGAACAACTTAATTCATGTGGATGTATGAAAGCATATCTACAGCCTGACCTTTCTGTATGGTCAGGCTCTATATCTGTTCACATCAAAACTCAGTCAAATCCATTTACTTTTACATGTCCTTATTTCAAAGTTTATGCATAAGCCCTATGATTTCTCAGAAGGTCTGTAGACTGTTTATCAAAACAAGATTCCTAATCCATGTCAGTCTGAAAGATAAGCTGATTTTACACTGAGATCACACTGCTAAAACTGAATATTAATTATAGTGGGAGAAAGGATTTTGAAATGAAAAACCTGGATGAGTTAACTCATGCTTTGAAAATTAGTGTTAACACCACCAATCTCAATCTAACAATATAAAAGCTATTATCTTTAAGACTTCTGTTCCTGTGGTGTCTAATAAGCATCTCTGCACAGCATAAATCCCCCCTATAAATACACAAATCAAGTGCCAATATGCTGTAATATGTGGTTCTGTGTCAGGGTGGAACTGCAAGTTTATTTTCATACTCAGATTTTTTTGCTGCACTCCATTTTACACAATCAGCTTAACAAAAATCTTTTTCCATCTGTTTCGTAGCTCAACAACAGTAATTTCTGAATGGTCAACTTGTTTCCTCTTATCTTGCTGTTGAAGATAATCTACCATATACCAGATAAAACAGCTTAGTTTTTATAAGTCTGTTCTTACAGAACCAGGCTCAGGAGAAACAAAGTAAGATCTTGATATCTTTGTATGTCTTTCCACCACCATACCATAATTCATGGTAATAACTTGTACAGTAGAGAAACCTGTAAAAACTTCATGCTACATTCTGTTCAAGAAAAAATAAAGTCTTACAATATAAACCAAATAATCGGTACCTAAGACCTACACACCTCAAAATTCAAAATAATTTTCTGTTTTGGAATCTAAATCTGAAGGGTATGAGCTGTCAGTGCTGCCAGTGACTTAAGAGATGTACATCACACCGACTTCTCTGAACAACTTATTTCTCAGCCCAAACACAGATTTCCTAGACATTTTTTAAATGTTAAAACTTATTTTACTATTTTATCAATTTATATGTAAATATATGCATATTATATCTTATAATTAGTTTCACAGTTCATTATCACCTACATAAAGTTGCTCCTGTCTTCCTTCCACATGTATTTAGGAGCAGTAATTATATTGCAAAATATTTCTCGTTAAACCACAGCATTTCAGGCTTTAAACGCTATGTTAATTCTGAGACTATACTGCAGCTTATTTTTCACCAGAGAAGTATGAGGCTACAAAGAAAACTCAAAGCTCATGGGATTATCTCCTTGACCTAAAATGAACATGGCTAAACTGGAACAGAGCACATCAGTGTTCTAAAACTCAAGGTTTAATATTTAAGAGGGAAGTAATATCAGAATTAAAAGGGCCTGTGTTGTTTTGTGAGAGGATTTAGTTTGCCCCAGTTTGCTCATAACGCTTGTCTTTAATAACTGCTACATACACCTATGAAAATGACACAGGCTTAAGCTGTTTGCAGACAGGAGAGGAGTTGAAAATTAGAGAATTCTTTGTTGAAAATACCAAACAGGAAACAAATATTAAGCACTGGACATTTCTGATAGTGCTTAACTCTCCCTTCAATGCAGTCTCAAGGTAATAAAGCCCACAATTCTACCTATATTTTAGGTTCCCTCATATCAGTAAAGACCCTCATACTCTTGATAATTTGGAAAAAGCCACCTGCTAGTCCTGAGTTTATGGGCTAACATCCTCAGTTGCTACTGATTATTACAGAAAAAGGTGATTTAGTGATTAATGGGGGTGAAAAAAGCAGGAAAATACTCTTGAAAGCAATTATGAGATAAAAGATTCTTAGAAAGACAAGTCAATAAATCCCAAGTCTCTTAACCATTGTAATCCATCTTCTATTTGTAAGGAACAAACAGCCAAGGTACATAAGGAATACCACTCGTTACTGCCTCTCCACTGTACATTTAATAACCCAACAGAGAAATTGAAGGCCTGAGGCCAAGTCAAATAATTTTAATCTTTCTGTAGTAATGAAAACAAAGATAGTTAGTAGAGTGAAGATATTTGTTTTGCACTTACCAGAGGCAAAAGATTCTGCACAGGCCATTTAATCTTCTGTCATCATTAAGTGTTATCTTTAACAGTGAAGGGAATTCTGGAATATAAAAGAACAGCACAAAATATCTATGTACAATTCAATTGCATAGCAAACAAATCAAAAGGAACAGATACTTAAAATAATCTCATATATTAGATATTTTCTAGAACTCTCTATGACTCCTAAGGTTATCACATTCTCCCAGACACCTCTGCATTTTGTCTGTTTGGCAGATTTGAATACAAGCTCTCATGTATTAAATCTGTGCAAGTGAAGCAGTAATAAGAGAAAACTAAGTTCCTGGCCTTTAGGATCCAGAACTAATAAAGCTGCAGACTTGGAAAGTTTTACTGTACTGCACTTCCCTCATGAGAGTGGAAGCAAGGGCAGACATCCTTTGCTTGAACTATCAGAATCCAAACATGACATAGTTAGAACAAAGTTTGGGTGTTTGTTTTTGTTACTTTGTTTTGTTCTTTTTAATTGTAGTTCCAACTTCCCTTAAATTATTAGCATCATAAGATAAAATGTCTTCTAAAGCAAATATGTATTTTTTTGCCCACAAAGAAAGAACTATAATAAGTAAATTTAAATATTGCATTACTGTGTTTAAAATTATGAAATACCTGGTTTTAATATCAATTTATAGAAGTATAAAAAGCTGCATCACCTACATTCATGGAATAGTTTACATTACAACAAGCCACCAGATGTGTAACATCAAGTTTTATTGACATTTTAGCACCACCTATAACACTGCTGCAAATGACAAATCCTAATGCTCAACAAGAGAAATAAAAAGCATAAACCCACTTCTTTTTCAGTACTCTCTCTTCCCCTCAGGAACACAAATAAAGGCTACCAACTGTTCTTTAGCAACAGTACCAAACATGCAGATTTGAATAGTAGCTAAAGTAGCCCTCAAGGCTTAGGGGAACATTACAGGAAATAGAAAATAGAAGGTATTTCTACATTATTTTCCTATAGGCATCATTTAAAACCAAAAAATACACAGGGTGACCAAACAAGGACTCCTAAAGGGAAATACAGAATTTTATGTGAACCAGAGCTGGAGGTCGTAACTTATCCTTACTGTAGGACTACACCAAAGTTAATCTCCCAAAAAACCAAAAGGTAAGGAACAGCCTCTTCAGATTTACAGTATAATGAAAGATTATTTCTGTAGAACTTCAAGAAAATGCAGTTTGTTTGGTTGCCTTGTCGAGTTACAAAGAGCAGCTGACAATGACTGAAGGAAGTGGCAGAAAGCCAACCCAATCTCAAAGCAGAACAACTTGTCTTAAAGATGTAATAACTCGTCTTCTGCTTGCCTAACCATGGGGGTAACCCCTCTCTTCTTTCATGGGGAAGCACTTTCAGTACTGATAGGAGAATATCTGAAATGAGTGACATTCCTGCCTGTGGGCCCCAGGCCAGTCTTAACAGAAATACCTGGTATGAAATAACCAGGGGAAAAAAAAAAAAATATTGTCTTTGATTCCTTTTCAGGCTGGAGTCAAATTCTAGAGTCTAATAGGAAGTCCACCAGATTCAGTGTATAAGCATAAAAAAAAAAAAAAAAATCATACGGTGTCCTAAGGAGCCTGGTCTGGATGCCCTATGAACAACAGACATCAGCTTCATTGAACATAGCTGAAACACTTTTCAGCACTAAACCACACTCAAGTTGAAAGATTTCAAGACAGATCCAAACATCTAGAGTGCTATTTTGAAGGGTAATTCATTATGTTAGTGATTCTATTGATTAACAGCAAACCCTTGTTATTAAGGTCAGATGTGTGTATTGATTTTTTTTTCTTTTTAAGGGAGACTTTGTATGAATATTAATGGCTCATGCCTAGAATTAAAGAACTGAAAGACAATATAGCAAATTAAATTAAACCAGATTCTCTGTTCTCAGCAGCCAAACTACATAAGCAAAATGCCACCTCTAATCTAATGCTTATTTTTACTGTTTTTAAAAGGATTTTGGAAGAAACTCTTTGTCATAACCTCTTACAGAAAGCAAAAGCTAGGTAGGAAAGTATAAAAAAGAAAGGTTAAGTTACAAAAGTATCAGAAAGATGCTACGCAATCACAGCCTACAAAGGGCTGAAACATTGAACTGCCTGTGTAACCCAAGACATAACTCGTGTCTCTCTAATGCCAATATAAAGCTGCAAATCGAAAATAGGTTTACTTTTCTAGAGCTCAGAAACACTACAGTATTATTGAAGCACCACAGTCTAGTATGCACAATTTGTCTCATTTGTTACCAGTGAAGTTCATCACCCATCCATGGGTCTAATTTGGGTTAGACGCCACTGAAGGTTTTACACCGTGACAGTGATGCAGAAATGCATCACTCATGATCCTGATGGTGCATAAAGGAGATCAAATACCAAGTTCTTCATTTCTAGTGCAAAAAACCTCTTAAGCACAGGCAAATCTGATTACTCAAGAATATTGTCCTCTTTAGCCTGTTCCAGCAGCAAACATTTAAAAAATAGCTAAACCTATTTTCTCATCAGATGGGGCCATGTGTCCAGTAATGTCTGTACACAGCACATCTAAACAAATGTATCTTCATTAGTTTCATGTCAGTGCTAGCTCAAATAACAACAACAGTAACCTCAGATGGAATAT